TTCATCTTTGTCTGAACTTTTCCCTTGTTTTCGCAGACCATATTGCTCTTGAACTTCCTTCGCTACATTGATCATATAGTAAAGTATGTTTTCTATAGAATTTAAAAATGGTTGCTCAGCAAAAGGTGTAAAATTCTCGTAAATGCGAACTTCAATTCTTTCGCCTCCATCGACTACATAATTTTCCTTTCTTGTCCGCTCTTGAAGTAGATCATCAAGGACCAATCAAGTGCCGTGTAATATGTGCGCGCGTTTGTGATTGGTTGTCTAAAAATAGATTATCGGGACATCTGATGGTGGCGATACCAATGCGGAGATGGACACTTCTGGTTATGTACTTCTGTAAATAGCAATTAATAAAAAATTCACCATTATGATAACAAATAAAACCTGACTTCACCTGAAAACATGTCAAATAAATTCCAAACAAAAAGAAAGAACATCAGCAGCAACAAGAACAGCAAACAAAGAAATATTAAATATTAAAGGCTACTTGGACGAAAATTGCAAAACATTAGGCAAGACTTGGAAATCAAATAGACCTATCCATATGATTCTAATAATCATGAAGCAACAGATTTCAAGAAGATATTGATACAAATCCTTACTAATTTGGGCAAAAAATGTTGTAGTAGATGACGTCATTACTCCATCCTTTTGTTCTTCCATCTTTTGAATCAAAATTTCTCTGATGTGGGATAATTCCAAAACAAATATTTTCCCGCAATTGTTTTTAATAGATATAAATGAATCATATATTTGTATTGCTTGAAGTTTTGTAATAAGACTATTTTCATGCAAGTAGCACTTTAAATGGTGCTACGTCCGACATACATGATCAAAGTCCAAATGCATGGACGCTAGATATGGGAGTTTCTTAGTGACGTAATCTATTAAGTCGTCAGAATTACATAACGAGAAGTTAGACAACCAATCAAAACGTGCGTACATATAACACGGCTCCTGATTGGTCCTTGTTATGTACTTCGTGATTAAATCAAAGCGTTGACAACACCTTGAGAGGACCGGACGTTAGGGATTTTTTCTTTAAAAAATTACTTTATCATCAAACGGATAACCCAGCAACTTCCTGCTGATAGGGAATGTACTTTATTGGCATAAACTTGGGCACAATTTTGCCCGCTAAATGGGACCATCAACAAAACAATATACAATATCACGACCTTGTTGTTGCGATTACTCATGGAATACTTGTAGGATAATTTCCCGCCAGTTTAAAGGAATCCTTATCCAGCAGATAAAATCCATGTATTAACTCTAAGGAGTGGATAACTTACAACGATTGATATTTTCACTAGCGAAAATAAACACATTTGAGGTTTCTCTATATATTGAAAGTAAAAAAGGTATTTTACGACATAATTTGCTTTCATATAAATTAAAAGGTTAAAAGAATACAGTACTTACCTGCTTATAAGAACCTGCAATTTAAGAACCTGTTAGCCTAAAAATATCAGTTTAGACCCCATAATTATATAAGAACATATTTAGGCTAAAGTTTGAAACAGGTTCTTCGTTCTTCAAACTGGTGAACTTGAACATGTATAAACTTCTGAATTTGGTATAAATAATGTTTGAAAACCTTGTAACTTTTAATTACATAAGGGATAGGTAATTAAGAACCTATATTTAAGAACCTGTGTAGCCTGCAATTCCACTAAGCACCATTTACATAAGAACCTGTTTAGGCTAAATTTGAAAAAAATGGGTTCTTATAAGCGGGTAAGTACTATTTTATTATAAAAGTTAAAAGAAATTTCCGTTACCGTGGTATAGAGTTTCACCCGCAGGTGGGACTGTTAGAGGACTATAAATGGTAGAGACTTGAGCTTGGTTTAAAAGATCTTTAATTCTTGAGTCAATCTTAATAGGACCAAATGACGATCGTGCTTGAAATGTAATATATATTATATATATGGCAACCTTGGTAGAAAGCAAACAGGAAAAGGCTCTTAGCAGTCAATGAAGATGGCAAGAAGTCCGTTGCTCTTCCTTGCAATTCTGGTCCTTCCATTCGCGATATCAGGTATAAAATTAACGATTTGGATTTCCCGCGAAACCCTACATCTTGCTCCTGCATCTTGCATGCTTGCGACCTTTTTGTCTAGTTTAACATAGTATTTAAAAGGTTTAAGTTGCAAAGCTTGGCAAAATTTCTTGAGGCTCAAAAAGATTGTTTTCTAGTAGCTACTAGTAACACTTCGTTTTCCTATAACTAGGAGGGTTTGGCTTGATATGCTGATACCATCTGAAAGTATTTGGACTTTATCATTAAAAAATGATCGAAAATAAGTTAAATTTCCCAAATAAAGTCAAAATTGCCACAATTTTTTTTTGTAAGATCGAGAAAAGTTCTTGATGGAACACTTGAAAAACTTACTTTTCTTACATATATATTTATATATTTTGAAAAATGGCATCATCAGTTTCACCCAGTTTCAAAGACTGAAAAGGCAGTAACTTTCTTTGTTTTCTTGAGTTATTATGCAATAAGCATTTAGTTATTTCAGTCATGTCAGGTTCTTAAATCTTTTTCTTCTGAGTTTTTGACTAAAATCTCCTTCATTCAAAACAACACGATGCGTCTCTCTCTGGCTGACGATTGAATGAGAGTTGCGTGACGAAACTGACTAGCTATCAACCAATCAGATTGCGAGAATAACCTCAAATATTGTGAAAAGATGTTCCAATCCACTCTCTTTATGCTTTTAGTATCGTGACAACAGCTCCTCCACCCTTCACAAGTCACGTGATTCTCAATTTACCCAGTTCAAGCGCGCTGCTTTTTTCTCTTAATTATTTGATAAAATATTTATCTCTATAGAAACTGGATTTCAAAATAGCTCTGCTCTTTCAGTAATCAGATCTAAGACCACTTTGATATGATATTTATACTACATGCTCAGAAAGACACGCGGGGGACTTCCAATAGTCTAGTCCAAAATAGACATCTTTTACTTTATTTCCAGCATTGTCCAAAAATGCGCACTTCTAAGTAGTTTCAAACTATCCTAACCCCCTTGATCAAACATTTTTGGTCAAAATATAACACTTTACCTATTTTAATCAGAGAACTTCAGTTGCAAGCAAAATGAATTTCAGTGTTTTAAAAACAAGATGTGTATTCCCATCACCTGGAGATGTGATTTTGAAATGGACTGCCCAGATGGTTCAGACGAGAAAAACTGTCGTAAGTACTAGTTTACTCACCTGAAATACTCAATACATTGCTGATCTCTCATTTCTAGCGGATCTACACGTGCACTGACCCTACTCCCACTCATCTCCTCCGCTCTAAAGGATCCAAAATCGTACCTTTTAGGGTTTTTTGTATGGAATTTTCATATTTTTTCCCATCACAACTATAAGACAGAGTTTCGCGGGGTTGTTCAACTATTGGAAGCGAAAACCCTTGCAGTATCATGTTAGAATAGGAAATACCTAACGAAAAGAACTCATTCCCTCAAGTATAGTTACTAACTATGCCTCAAGCGCACGAACTTTGCGAAAGTCGTTTCAATCGCCGGTGTTTGTGTTTACAAACTTATCTAAGATTGAAAATGTTTTTTAAAGGTTTTCAATAGTAACACTTTTGAACACTTCAAAATTGCTGATTGACTAGTGAATTCTCCTTGATTAAATATTCCAAACGCGATAATTACTCGGGGTTCCACAAGAACCGCGAGTTTAGGTTTCGGCCTTCTTTGTCATGGTCGTATTTGGTACACAAATTGTCTCGGCCAAACTAGAATGCACTGGGTACGAATCACGTGACATTCACAACTTCCATGTGCTATCTTTACATGGTGTCGTTGAAGTGTCGTCTTTATACGAGATGGAAGACATGGATTCAACTTCAAACACGCTCAAATCTCTTACAAATCAACACACCATTCGCGGTATAGCCACACTAAAAGATGTCGAGCGTTTTTCGAAAGGGCATTTTGAGAGATACCGCGAATTTATCGTGAAATTTATCGTGTATCTATTAAACAAGCTACCAATCTTATCAAAAGCGAACTCTATACTGATTCTACAGGCTCTGAAACTACAAAGGACTTCTCTAAGTAATGCGAACAGAATTCTACTGAGGAAAAAACGACGATTGCAACTATTTTATTTAGCAGAGACGATAAAAGACTCTGTCTTTATAGCCTGCCATGTGACTATCAAAGTGAAAGAGAGCTTGACAAAGACTATCAATTCTTCCTTAA